AGCACTTGTACTGGCCTGGGGATGGGGGAGGGGAATATTTTGTTTGCTCTGCTTTCAAGAAGTGTTCCATAGACCCCCTGAAGGGTTACAGCTAGAGCCTGACATCTCAGGATCCGGGCACCTGTCAAGCCTTCTAGAATTTCACACCACTTGCTCCCCAAAAGGCACACATGTGTTCTTGTCTTCTGTTCACCCACAAAACATGAAGTCCTTCCTGGCATGTCAGGCAGCAATGCAGGTGAGCCCCAGGATATGCATTCAGACCTACTATGGCAGCCATCTAGCCCTTTAACACCTAGTTTCCAAGTGCCTCGGGTCTGTTTATATAGGTTGTGTTGCTGCCAAGCAGGCACTGGGGGTCCTTTCTCGCTGGTCTCTTTCACTCCTCAGTGTACATGCACCGGCAACAGCACCCACTGAGACCCACTGTAGCCCTTTCTTCTCAGCTCATGCCCAGGGGGTGACCACAGTCAGTACACATGCATGCCCCCGATGCGTGCTTGCCACACAGCAGCCACTCTGGCTGCTTCTACATATTGCCTGCCCCACTGGACTGTGGAGCTGAAGATCCTATCTTATTTTTCTATTCTCAGATCAGTGTTTTGCACATTGTGTAGGCTCGATAAATACATGTCAACAGAAGCTGATTTAGTTTCCTGTCCAAGCCGTTTGCCCAGAGCAGAGAACAGCTTTCCAGGTAGAGGCTTCAACTGCCCACTTTCCCCTTGTGGTTTTCCTCTTCTGCTCAATTTTCTGCTAGGTCTGGGGCTAATTACTGAAGCTAATTACTGGTTGGTTGAAATGGCCCCAGAGCCTTCTCCTGTGTTCTAACAGAGAACTCAGAGCTCATCCTAGAATAGCACAATTTGTATCATTAACACTTAGATACTGTGGCTGTTGCCCACACTGGAGCTTATAAGCAAAGCCCACTTTGGAGCAGTTTCCTGGGCAGGGAAAACCCCTCATCTCTTATTGTTTCTGGAACCATACATTTACAAATGATCTAATTGCTCTGTGTCAGTGGCTGGAAGCACCATGACGATGCATTTAATTGCTAAGGATATGCAACTGTTAATTAAAACTGACCTCTACTCAAATGTACTAAACAGCCATGTGTCACCACTCCACGCTAGGCCTTTTGCCAATGGTAGTTTTCTCTTTCTCCTCCTCCAAATTTTGCTTGCATGTATATATGTCATTGTTTTGATAACTGTGATCTCTACTTCCTCTGCGTGAGTCTGTGGTTCAAAGGTAGAAATGCATAGAGCACAGAGGGAACCCAAGGATGCCCTGACCCATGATGGCAGCTGGCTGAGACGGGATTGAAGGACTGAGGTCCAGTCTGTTTTCCTACAGTGACTAACTTCTTCTATCCAGGGACACCTTAGCCACTGCCCTTCTGTCCAAGAGATGTGACTGATTCGGGCTGGCTTAGAAATCCTTTTTTTTTTTCCTTTCATTTTTTTTTTTTTTTGGTTATTTGTGGAGGGAATGTCTAAATATATTATTTTGAATTGCAATGTGATTTATAAATGACAGCAGATTGCAGTGAATAAACTGTAATGACCTCATCTACCTTGTTTGTGGTAAATGTACTTTTTGATGTTCTAAGTTTGAGGGCAGTGAATGAGGATAGGCAAGCAGGCTGTTTAGAAATAGTCCATCTCAGCTGGGTGGTGGAGGTGCACGCCTTTAATCCCAGCACTAGCGCTCAGGAGGCAGAGACGGGAGGATCTCTGTGAGTTAGGGGCCAGCCTACAAAGTGAGTACCAGGGCAGCCAGGGCTACATAGAGAAATGCTGTCTCAAACCCCCCACCACACACACACACACACACACACACACACACACACACACACACGGAACAGTCCATCTCATTGGACAATACCAACCCCAGCTCTATCAGCTAACATATGCCTGAGTGTGCCTGCTGTTCTACACAAAGGTTCTGAGACCTGGGTTAGTAGTTACCACTGAAAAGGGCAGTCACAATGTTAGACACAGACTCTGAAATCCGGTGTTAACTCAGGGTTGATGATATACCATAAGACATATTGGAATTCTCATTAGAATACTAGTGGAAACGTCACACGTTTTTGCCTGTGTAGCTGGTTATCCTGTATTCAATGATACTTCCATTCCCATCTCAGCTGGATTTAAAAGCACGATGCAGTCCAAGCAGGCCTTGAGTTTGTGGTTCTCCTGCCTTAGTCTTCTAAACAGTAGCATTACAGATGTGTGCTACAGGGTCTTTGCGCCACCCCTGGAGGTCCCCCCCCCTTCATAATAGCCCACAACGACTGGCTGACTGGATCTTGCTGCCAGTACCATCTGCTTCAGGAAAGCTAAGAATATTAAAACAACAAGGGGGGAAAAGGGAGACCACAACTTCTCAGATAAAGAGAATACTTTATTCATATGTGTATAAAATTATACTTCAGAATTGTCCTTTTCTACAAACAGAGAATTGTAATTCTCCAAATGAAAAGGCTAGTTTCTTCACCTTGTACACACCATGGTCACAGTTAAACAGTATTTCAATTGTGAGTACTGGGGAATCAAGCCCGGGACTTCTCACTCACCCACACACAGGCCCTGTTACACAAAACCCAACCAAACAAAAAGCTTTTCTACAGCAGCAGCATCAGGCTCTGTAACTGCGGTCAGGAGCCTCAGGATGGCATCAGAAGCCAAGTCAACTATTGATGTTCCCTGAGTTTCCCTTGAGGAGCCCACTTCCGCAACGTTAATTCCTCCTCTTAGGTCTAATTCACTGGAGACGCTTTTCTGGAAATACTTATAATGCCATGGAACAGTACAAGTGGATGAGGGGGCATCAAGTTCAAGAGCTGTGCCCCACCATCATGCCCTTCCCAACAGTAGCGACATTCCTAGCCTGCAGAAGAACCAAAAGGTAAGTAACATCGAGTAATTTCTGTAACTCTGAAACATGTAAGGCTCAGCTCCACACACACACACACACACACACACACACACGCCTCACATTTGACAACAGTAACTAACTATCAGAGTGATAAATGTGTTGCTACATCTTCTGTAGACTATGTCCCTCTGCCCCTAAAGCAGGGTTCAGCTTTCTGTACTGAGGCTAATCTGAAAGCCTCCCCTTGGGTTGGGTCACTCTTCCTCACTCCCTACCCTCACTACCCAATGGCTCTGCTATCTGCTCACCAGAAATGTGGCTACTGTTTGAGGCTTGTCATCTCCAGCCGAGAAGCTGGAGAGCTCGACAAAGCCTCCCAGGTCACTAACTGGAGGCCACAGTCGGTGGTGAGACATTAGTGTCTTCTCCCTGTACCTGGTGCTATTCTATTCTTCTTCTTTGCACTGCAAAAGGCATCAGAACCCTATAAAACTTGGCCAAAGCATAGGATGCTTTGATTAGAAAATGCCGATGGCCAGGAAAGTGGGTCCAAACAGGCTTTCTGCGGTTTGGAGGAGAAAGGATGAGTATGTGGGACATCTTTCTGTAATGCACACAAAGCTACGTGATTTTTTTTTTTTTACTGTCGATATTAAATTGGCTAAACCACCCTAGAAATGGCTTCTATTTTGTTGCAATTATCATCTGGGTGACAGAGAAGGGCACTGTGTCCAGGGTACCTGAGACATCTGGTGGCCTGTCCCTTATGCTGAGGTCATAGGAAACGTAAGCACATTATAAATATTCCTATCCCCTTCTACTGAAACAGTGAGGCCAGTGGGTGTCCAGATAGGATTATTTTTACTTTTAAGATTAGTCTTTATTTTTTAAAAGACTGTGTCTGTGTGTGGACTTGCGTACACGAGCAAAGGTGACTGTGGAGGGCCATAGAGGGGGTCAGACCGCTTGGAGCTGGAGTTACAGGGAACTGAGTTCAGGCCATCTGAAGAGCAGTGCATGTTCTCAACTTTGGAGCCATCTCTCCAGACCATTATCTCTTTTTAAAAAGACTTTATTTATTTATTTATTTTTAGTATTCTAACTTTAAAAAGTACCAAATTTCACAAAATATATTAGGTTTTCTTATAGTTAAAAAAAATTTTTTCCCTCTCATTGGTGGAAAAAAAAATCACACAATAAAATGGACAAAATACTCCTTTTTCTTGGATTTTTGAGATAAGGTCTTTCTCCATAGCCCTGGAGAACTGAAACTTGCTCTGTTGGCCATGCTGGTCTTGAGCTTCTGCTGCTGCCTTCTGAGTGCTGGGATTCAAGGCATGTGCTGCCATGCCTAGTCAAAACTAATTCTCTTGTATAAAGTTTTATGTTCAGAAACACTCACTTTAGTCAAAAGGTAGCTCTGTCCAATTCTACGTAGACAACAAGCCTCTTCAATTCACTAAGAATAACTCAGGTTCTTAAAAGCAATAGTCATTGGATAGGCTGTTTACAATAGTACACAAATATGACATTATTAAGAAACACTTTATATTGTAATCTGAACAGTTTGCCCAGTTTGTATAAAGTTCACATGAATCGGGAATCAGAATGTTTTCCCATTAAAATGATATGCTTCATTAGAACTACAGAGTTAGCAGAACAAGAAAACCTGCAAGAAATACACAGAATTGAAATTTAGGTTTTATCTCCCTATTTGGGAGCTTCTGTTTAACAGGTTAAGAAGCATTGATCACTCCCACTAGTGGGGTCATGAGTACAGATTTCCCACTTTCAGGGATTATTGGGCTAATTTAAAAGATGTTCAGGATTAATATTCCAGTAAACCAGCTACAATGTGCTATGCACATATATGAATCAGACTATCCATGTTCCAAGATGCAGACAGCTGGGTGAGACCTTGAAGACAGGATTCCTAGACTTTACATGAATGACAACAGATGGGTATGATGTCCTTCAGATTGCTTCCTTTTCTTGAGTTTAAAAAAAAAAAAAAATCACAAGAATATTTCCTTAACATGAGATATTCCAAACATACTTTTTACTTAAAACCAATAAAAACAACCGCTTATCAGACAGTTAATAAAAACTCCCAGGCATCAAACAAAACTCCATGGTCTATATTTTTAGTCACATGTGCTTTCACTAGGTGACATTTGGGAGATAAACCACACAATGTAAAATTCATGGATTTGCAAGGATTGTACAAACTGACTTTGGGGCAGGTTAAATATATTTGAGGAAATAGGTTCAGGCTGTGGTAGAGATTCAGTGTACAGTCCTACCCAGAACCAAGAAGAAAATTATAAAACACCAAAAAACACTGGGGACTGGAGGGTTGTGAGGATGGATTCTTAAAATAATTATATGAAGAAAAGCCAGGAACACCCAAAATATTCTATTCCATATAACAAACACTGATTGTCTGTTCCCATATTAGTTTAAAAGATTCACAGAACAGGATAAATTTGTATATTTTTAAAGATCATCCTCTAACAAATAGAGAAATCCCACTGAGGTTAACAGTTCAGTAAGCTGGAGAACACTTTAAAGTTCATATTGCCTTAAAATCACACCGGAATATCAAGTCCATTTCATACTGCTACAGATCACAAGGAACTTCAGAAGCATCCTCAGTGCTTACGCAGCTCCTTAACCGACACCACAAATGCTCATCAGATGGGACCAGGAATAAATGGTGCATGAGTTGTAAAAACTTAGAGAGGCTTTCTGAAGCAATAACTCTTTTCAAGCCTGGTGGCGCTCGACTTTAATCCCAGTGCTTGGGAGGCAGAGGCAGATGGATCTCTGTGAGTTTGAGGTCAGTCTGCTATGATACACAGTGAGTTCCAGGCCAGACAAGACTACACAGTGAGACCCTGTCTCAAAAAAAACCAAACAATTAAGTGAACACACATGCATGCAGGGACACACGCACATTCACTCATACACATACCCCGGCATCTAAGGGGACGCACGGCCCCTCAAGCTGCATGTCACACTCTGTGAAGTACCATTTCTCTCCAATGGAACCCTCAGCGTTTCTAATAGCAATGTCCTTCCTGTTAGGCTATTGTGAAGACAAAAGTTATTTTTCCCAGTTCACTGCATTTTACCCCCAACTTTTCAAATGTTACAATTTATAAAAATGTAGACTCTGAATCTACTTTATTACAAAAGGGAAAAGTATTGGTGCACATAATTACTATAGACAAAGGGATGTTCTGAGGGGTTCCGACTGTTCAGCACGAGTGTACCTCCTGGAAGTACACTCACTCACAAAAACATGTTGCCTTTGCCGTGTGAAAACCGGGTGTTTAGTTCTCGGGACTTCTTTATTAGGGCTTTTTTCTGAGCCTCATCAAAGCGATTAACCTTGAGATCTTTGTCACGGTCAAATGGTATCCTCTCTTGGTGCTTGTTTTTATCTTCGGCAGCCTTATTCTTTAACTTTTTATGATGAATGTCCATGAGGGATTCTGATCTTCTTGATTCCTATGGAAAACAGGACAGAAGCAAACACCTTAGTGCATGTAGGTTACACACAGTCTACACCATAATGCAGACTGGACCAGAGCATGTAAATGAGAGATGTTCGTAAGCCCTGATGGGGGCTTCTGGATACAAGACAGCATCTGTGAAGAAAATGTACAGCTGTGCTAAATATGATTCAAAAGGAACAAAGACATCTACAAGTGTCATGTAGTGAAAGAGTAAGAAAGGAAGGAAGCCAGTCATCATGGTTACTTAAGTCTTAACAGGAATACAAACCAAGAATGAGCAAATTATTCCCACTTCATAGATGGAGAGGTCCTGAAGCCACTCAGGTAGAAAGAGGTGAAGGCACTGGCAGGAGTGAGCTATGAAGCAGGGAGCACAGAAGCAGTCTAATTCGGGAACTGTGCAGATGCGCATGGGCAGACTGGAAGATGCTCGTCTCACCCAAAGTTCTGCTTTACCTAACCGCCTTCCTTCCCCTTCTCCTCTTAGCTTAGATTGATGCTCACAGTTTCAGGTCTACCTAGATACCATTTTCAGACAAGGTCTGTGTAAAGGTAATGGTTTAGCAAGTTAGGGATTTGCTGTGGACCTCTCAGTAGACTAGCCTGGGCTGGAAGGACCAGGGAGGGATGGAGGAGATGGCAGAGCAGCAGCCTCAAAGCTGGAAGGAGGCACCCATACCTCGGGCTGCACAGAATGACATTCGGGACCAGCTGGAAGGATGCACACACACACTCCAGGCTGCACAGAATGGCATTCGGGACCAGTAAAGCAGGGGCCTTTTAAGGGTATTCACAACGACTGTCATTTAGTTGATCCTTTTTCGAAGATTAAAAGAATGCATGTGTGTGTGTGTGATCCTGCATGGGTTTCTGTGGATATGTGTACAAGAGTGCACAGGGGTCAGAAGAGAACATCAGAGTTCCCGGAATTGGAGAACTCAGGTTCTACACAAGAGCACTAAGCACTCTTAGTTGATGAGCCAGCTCTCCAGCCCCTCATTTAGTCTTTCTTCAAACTGATTTGTCCTATGAAGCATCTGTAAAGATGACTTTCCTATATGGCTATGAAGAGACAGGATCTCAGATAGCCAAGGCTGGCCTCCAACTTGTTTGTTGTGTAGCTGAGGCTGACCTTTAACTCCTGACCCTTCTGCTCCACTACTCAAATGCTGGCATTACAGGAGTACTCCACTACACCTGTAGGTAGACATTACTTTCATGCCTGCCAGTTCTCAAATAATCAACACAGAGTCTTAATATTAATTATAAATGTTTGGCTGATAGCTCAGGCTTACTATTAACTAGCTCTTACAACTTAAATTAACCTATTTCTATTACTTTACCAGGGCTTGGTCCATCTGAGACATTTACATAAGTCAGCAGGTTCAGGAGTCAAGTCCCAGTATAGTTGAAAGAACCATTCAAGAAGTATATAGACAGCCTGGGCATGGAGCTGCACCCGCCTGTGTTCTATACCAACAGGACCCATCAAATTCAAGGTGTAAGACACAGCTGCCCATCATCTAGAGGTTGCTCAAACAACTGCGCTCCTGGATGAGGATGCTGGCCTGTGAGAAAATGTGCCTAGGATGTTTAGCGTCATAGCAACTGCCATGTGACACCCGTGATACGGTGTGTGCGTCACCTCAGTTAGCTAAGCAGACCATATACTTCACTGGGATGCTGAAGGGGCTTCAGAGTGAATGTGGAAGTTAAAACATACCTTCCTTTTTTTGGCCTTGCATATTTGGAATACAACTGTTTCCTTCCTGAATTTCAAAGATAAGACTGCAAGAGCACATCACACTATCCAGTGGTCAGATTTTGTTTGCATTGCCATTCCCATTATTTTTTGTTTAGAATTGGAATAACATTGATTTCAAAAGTATGAGTGAGAGAGAGAGAAGAAAAAATTAGAACTGTGCCAGGTGGCAGAGGTGCACACCTTTAATCCCAGCACTCTGGAGGCAGAGGCAGGTGGATCACTGTGAGTTCAAGGCCAGCCTGGTCTACAAAGCAAGTTCCAGTACAGGCAGTGTTATAGAAAGAAATCCTGCCTCGAAAAACCAAAACCAAACAAAACAAAAAACCTGAAAGACAGAAAAATATGAGGACTAACAAACTCTGGAGCAAAAGTCAGAGGGCAATATGGACGAGGTAGGAAAATCTCAGCACAAAAAAAAAAAAGTGGAAAAGAGAGGAAGATGGAGAGGAGGAGAGTTGTTTGGAAGAGAAGGGATTATATTTTATTTTTCACTCACGTTGTATGAGGACACTTGCTCAGCAAGTCTCTTATCCCTTCCTGACAATATGTTTTCTTCATCTTTCTTAATGAGTGACTTCCTCGCTTCTTGTATTTCCTGAAGAATGAACACAATAACATCACTTAAAATAGAATCAAAAAGAAATACTATTAATTTCAAATGACAAGAAACTGAACTACAGCCAGGCTGCTTGAATTCCTCCCAGTCAGAAACAGCTGCATACCTGAGGAGGGAGGGATAGTTAGTGCAGGAGAAAGAGGACAATGGAATCCAAACCAAACCCTCCCAGTCACCCAGCTGGAAGAAACTCAGGGTGAGTTTGGACTAACAATGACACAAAAATGTGGGAAAATAATACACAAGAAAACTTCCACTGTATGCTTTCAAAAACAGTAAATGGAAAAATTAAAAACTGTATATATACTGACAAAAAAAAGAAAGAAAGGAAAGAAAGAAAAGAAAGAAAAGAAAAAAGAAAAGAAAGAAAAGGACACTGTCAGCATCCAATGATGGTATGAGTGTCTATGCAGAAAAACCCAAGAAACCTGCCAACAAACTGGGACTAACAGAAGCAAGAACGGCAAAGGTGTGTGACACAAAGTCAAAGAGAGGGTGTACCATAACAGAAACAAAGACATTCCAACACACACACGCACGCGCACGCACACACACACGCACACACACGCACACACATGCGCGCGCGCACACACACACACACACACACACGTACATGGAAGCCAGACAGCCGACAGCCAGACATGAGGAGCAGTGAAACAGATACGCAGAAGTAAAGAAAGGTAAAAAGCCCTGTGGCAAAATGTAGTTGAAGACAACAGGTTAAGTTATAAGAGCTAGCAAGAAAGAAGCCTAAGCAAGACTGAGCATTCATAATCGATAAGAAGTCTCCAGTGTCATGGTTTGGAAGCTAGTTGGTGGCCCAGAAGAAATAGCCTGGTACACTCTAAAACACTTGCAAAGTGAGAAACAGCAGCCAGGGACAGTCCAGGTCAATGGCTAGTAAGGCTCACGTCAGAGAGGGCTAAGGGGAGGCTTTGACTGTCTCTCGCTGGATGGGCTGCATATAAACAGCCCATGTCTCTGGATGGACCAGGGAACATGCACAGTGCATGTAGGCTACCCACTGCCTTCACAATAGCCCAGAGAACTAAGCAACTTCACAGCAACTGCTCAGCCCTTGCCTAGCCTTTGTCACAGACCTATAAAAACCCGAGACAAGGAAGTTCTTGGAAACCCCTATCATTCTCGGGACTTCCAATTTTCTTTAATCTCACACTTTCCCTCAATTTCTCACATCTCTGTAATTCTCCTGAATACTGCTTGCTTTCACTTCACAAAATGCCATGAGTACAAAATGCCTCACTAGGGTGAAACAATGAATTCAGAGCCATCATCCCAAGTCCTGGGGTCATGCACAAGTGTCCTAAAACCCTACATCATCAGTACCCTTACATAATTTCATCTTGTACCTTTGCCAGTTCAAGCCAAACTAGATAGACTACATGAACAAAACAAAAAAAAAAAAAAAAAAAAAAAGGGGAAAAAACCCCAGTTACCTTAGCTTTCCTTTCCCTGTCAGCTGGGGTGTCTGTCCAGACGGATCGGTCTCCGGATTTATCATCAGCTCTTCTCTTAAAGGTTCTTGGTCCAAGACCAAAGTCTTTCATTTCTGGAGGAAGCTCAGTCATCCATGACTCTCTTGTGATTGGTTTAGATGAATTCTGTATGAGAAACAAAGCAGTGGCTGTGCATGGTGGCACATGCCTTTAGTTCCAGCTCTGGGGAGACAGAGGCAAGCAGATGTCTATGTGTTCAAGGCCAAATAGTGAGTTCTAGGCTAACCAGGGCTACAAAGTGAGACTCTGTCTCAAAACAAAAGCCATCACACACACACCCCTATACACTTACACAATCTATGCTATTTCCTAGGGGTAGAGAGTTGGCTCAGAGTTTAAGAGCACTTGCTGATTTGTAGAGGACACAGGTTCAGTTCTTAGTGTCCACTTGGCTGCTCACCACCATTTCTAACTCCAGTTCCAGGGGATCAGACTCTCTCTAACCTCCTTAGACACCAGACACACTTGGTGCATTTGCATACACACACACACACACACACACACACACACACACACACACACACACACAAAAACACTCATACACATCAAATAAATCAGGAAAAAAAACCCTTACATCATCTCCTTTGGTTAATTTTTCCTTCATTCTCTGGGCCCTTTTTTCAAATTCTGTTGTTACACTATAGTCAACAGGTCCTTTTGCGGGCATTGGTCCAACAATATCCTCATCGTCACTGCTCTCTGCTTCCTGTTAAAACAAGACAGCATCTTTATAAGAAGAGACCAACAGGTTATAGACAATGATCTTAAACCACTTGGAATTTAACTGAAATGGGTTATACATAAACAATAGGACAAACAAAAGTATATTGGTATCCCATCACTTAACAGTGAGCTTTCCCTTAGCTTCCTTGAAGATGACGGCTCCATAGCGTGTGGACTCTCTTATTTCTCTTCCTATGTCATCGTTGACCTCATTATATTATTCCTATTCATACCCCATCCTTGTTATGTTGCTGGTAGGAACCCAGGCTTTGTAGATGTTGGGCAAGGACTCTACCACTGAGTCACACCTCCAGGAGTTCAACTCTCTTCTTAGTGCAGAGATCTGGCCTTAGAATTCTTTTCAACAGTGTTCCTGGTATTTATTTATTAACAATAGATCAGAAATGACACATTTGAAAGCTATTTTCTTCTCTGTACATAAACGGCTCTTTGGAATATGGCAAGTGAATCAGGGCATTGCTATCAGCTTTTATGAAACAAGTACTGTATTAATAGCTCCCAAACACTGACATAGATACATCAACAAAATAGTGCAGATAACTGGATACCTCTTGGTCCCTTTTGTTTTAGATTTAACATTTCTTCAACTGAGCTACCCACTTTTTCTACCTTGCCTTCAACACTGGAAATTTCCTTTTCCATGTCTTGTACTTTGTTGGTGAGGCTTATATTTTACATTCTAAATTTTTTGTTTCCAGTTTTATTTAGTTTGGGGTTTCTTTTCAGTGGTTCTATTTCTTTGTTAAGTTCTACTTTCATGACTTGAATTATTTTCAATATTTCATTCAACTGTATTTTCAGACTTCATTGAGGGATTTATTTATACTCTTTAAGGTCCTCCACTCTATCCACAACTGCTATCTTAAGTGCCCTTGCCTTAAGCTTTTAGGTATATTGCATTTTTCAGGGCCTACTGCAATAGGGTTACTGGCTTCTGGTTGAGGCATATTGTCTTGGCTGTTCATGTTTGTGCTTTTGTATCAAGATCTAGGCAGCTGGAATTATTACGAATGAGGTATTTCTTGGCATCTATATCAGGCCTTGTCTTTGTTGGGTGGGTTTTTTTGTTCTCTGGTTGCTATTGCCTTTTGTGGATCCTAAGCAAGTGTGGTGGCTGTGGGGGTTCCTGGTAGACAATGCTTCTGTAGGTTGATTGGTGACAGAAAAAAATGTAGACAGGCCAGGAGGAAAGGCTGAGAGGGGCTGTGGAAAAGAGCTGGGGGGGGGGGACCAGGGTCCACACCAAAAGGCAGAGTCCCAAGGGAATGTGGGTGGCTGCTGCAGGACTAAAGCAAGTCTGGAAAGATCCTTATGGAGGACAGGAGGGACAGTGAAGATCACCCCTGAACCCCAGCTCAGTGTGGCCACGGGGCCCTCCAGTAGAAGGTGTTTCAGCTAACACACAGGAATGGAGATGGGCTGGGGCTGTGTCTTGTTCTGATCCTATTGATGATTCCCACGTATGACTCTGGGTAGAAGCTGTAGCATCCCAAGGCTTAGAGTTTGTTCTTGTCCTCAGTAGATTTACTACAATGAGTAATACTATGCTTGTCCTTTGGTTATGACGGCTTCTGCACCTTATTTTATTTTTTGAGCTATCTGGATAAGGAGTTTGTTTCATTTCCCCTTTAACCACACAACAGTAGCTTCTATCTTGGACTATTCTTTTTAAACTCATAGAAGTGCGATTAAATAATTTTATTCCTGCTCTTGTGTCTTACTCTGAAACACACACACACACACACACACACACACACACACACACACACACAGTGTGATGGGTTCTGGCATCCAACGCCACAGTTGATTCTTACAATTAAACTGTGAAATGATATTCTTTTTTATTTCTTCTTGAGGGAACAGATCTCTGAATAAGTTTATTAAGAAGACTAGAGAACTTACATGAAGTTTTAAAACTGGTACCTAAGGATAACACTTTCAGGACCAGTGTTTTCTGTACTTTCACGAGAGCCTTTCCACGCTCTTCTTTAATCCAACCTGCTGCTGATTTAACCTTAAGTGTTGACAGCTTACTTCTCCAATAGTAAACTGTGCTGTCATAAACATTGCCAAATTAAAAAAATACTAACAGTGTGTGTGTGTGTGTGTTTGAGCGTGCACATGCGTACACATGTCCCAGTATGCATGGAGGTCAGAGGACAACACTACGGAGCTGTTTCTCTCCTTCCATCTTTACATGCACTCCAGGGATGGGACTCAGGCTGTCAGGCTTGTGCAGCAAGCACCTTTACCCACTGAGCAGCTCACCGGCCCACAAATGTTATCTTAAGTGTATCTGTGCTTTCTGTAGACATAAACCTTTGTGGCTTAAGGTAACCAAATACAAAATATATAATGAACCTTTAAAAAAAGAGGTGTATTTTTATTTATATGTTTGTTTCTTTGTATGAATATTCCACATATGTGATGCACACGGAGGTTGGAAAATTTTATTGCATCCCCTAGAGGTGGAGTTACACCCAGTGCGGATGCTGGGAACTGAATTTGGGTCCTCTAGAATAGCAGCAAAAGCTCTTAACTGATGAGCTATTTCTCCAGCTTCTATGATAAACTTTTAAAGTTTTAGGAACCATTAGTGTCTGTGGCCAGGATTGGTGACACATGTCTTTAATCTCAGCACAGAGGCAGAGGGGCAGAGGGACAGAGGCAGAGGGGATCTCTGGGAATTTCAGGATAGCGAGGGTTATGAAAAGACCCTGCCTCAAAAATCAAACAAGCTGATTAACTAACAAACAGAAGCTCAATAAAACAAAAACCCCAATAAAACAAACAAAAAACAAAACAAAAACAAAACAAAACAAAAATCCACGCTGGGTGGTTGATGGGAGAGCCATTTTATAAATGTTTCTCTTGTTGGTTAATGAATAAAGTCCTGTTGGCCAATAGGAACGCAAGATAGGCGGGACTAGGAGACAAGAAGGATTTGGGGAGAGGTAGGAGGAAAGTCAACATGTAGAGACTTGAGGGAGAAGAAGGTCTGGACCCTCTCTCTGGTAAGATGATACCACATGAAAACACTTAGATTAATAGAAATAGAGTAATATTTAAGACAGAGCTAGCCAATAAGAAATGCCAGTAACAGGCCAACAGCTGTATATCTAATACAGCGTCTCTCGGTGTTATTTGGGGCTGATGCAGCTCTAGGACCAGGCTGGCAGGAAAACTGCTCTTAACAGGTAGTGCATGCCTTTAATCCCAGCACTTGGGAACAGAGGCAGGAGGATCTCTGTGAGTTTGAGGCCTGGTCTACAAAGTGAGTTCCAGGAAACTAAGACTGTTACACTGAGAAACCCTGTCTAAAGAAAAAAAAAAAAAAATCCAATGAACAAATAAAAACATTAGTGTTTGGTGGCAGGGTAAGCTAATATTATTTTAACATTTATCTAATAAGATGGTTTTCATGAAGGTAAAATTTCATCACATCTTGCTCGGTATTTTTAGAGACAAAAATCACCTATGATTTTGAGAGACACAAACTAGACAGAGGATCAGAGATGCAAACAGAAATAACACACTTAACTGAAAATCAGAATCATAGGAACAAGCCTAACCTGGGACAGTTTTGATGCCCTGGGTGACTTATTTAGTGTCTTCACAGGTTTATTATCTCAAACAGGAGAACAGGGCAGAGAGTGAGGCCCACAGAGCCCTGGGCAAAGGTGACAAAATTAGTGTGTGGGAGAAATCGTTGGCAAAGAGGAAGACTAAACACCTCCCCATCCGGTTAAATCTGGAAAGTGACCTGAGGGCAGAGTATGCCAAAGTGTCTGCAGGTGAACTCGACTCCTACTCCTGGGTGGAGAGTTAAGATTAAGGAGATGTGAAACGTAGAATTATTTGTAACAGACGGCATCCGAGAGGATGCCTGTCTATACAGATCAGCCAAGAGTCTGCACCATGAGGCAAGGCAGCTCACCTCTGAACAGACCCACTCAAGACACTGACTGTTCTCTTGGTTGGCAGTGGATCCTTTCTTAGCAAACCATCTCTGCTTCTGATGCAAACGGTGTCAATGCTCACTTCCTTGTCTGGGGACACAATAACCTGGAATTCCTCTGGGGATGCCCACTGAGCTCGGTATCTGTGATACCAACCTTACTTAAAATCACAACAGACATTATGCACCATGATCCCTGACAATCTTGTTTTGCTAAGTTGTCAGTGTGAGAACAGCTTTCATTTCATCTCTGGGTGTTCTATTCTCACATTCAGTTGGCAGTGGGTGTTTTACTCTCGAGGTGAGCTGGCAATGTGTTCAGAGACTCATATCTGGATTATCTTACGTCATGTGAGCCACATGATTACAGATGCTGAATCATTCAGGTTCTGAGTTTGTTACACATTTTATTCTTTAAATGAAGTTTCCAAACCTCTGAGTTGAAGAATGGTGACACTTGCCCTGGATCCTCTCTGCGTTTGTCACTTCTCTGTGAAGACTTAATGAAACCAGGTGGCAATGCAGGGCCGATCATAGGCCTGAAAATAAAATACACCATTGTCATCCTCTCATAACTTTAAAAAGCTGTTTAGTTTACTCTAAATTTTAGAATAAAAGTTCACAATCATAAGAAAGCCAGCCATAACAAATGCTGAAAATAAGAACTTTGTTTTGTTTTCCTTTTTTTAAAATTTAAATTAGAAACAAGCTTGTTTAAAAAAAAATTAAGAACTTTTGTAACTGTTTTTACTAGTATTGGTAGTGTTCTTCATTTTTAGAAAAAAATATTTTTATTTATTGATGGGCATGAGCCACAGTATGCATATGGAGCTCAGTGGAACAGGGACTGAACTCAAGTTCTCAGGCTGTGGGACAAGTACATTTATCTGCTGAGTCATCAACTACTCTAACGCAAAAACTTTCCATCTTTTTGATCTGACTATACCCATGAGGGCATCTTGTGCCCTCTGTTTGTGTTGACTCTGCTGTTTTGATATCTGCTATCCACTGAAAATGACATTGGGCCTTGCAATTACGGTCAGAACTACTTACACACAAAGTGTGTTCTTCTAAACACGTGTGCAGCAGGCAAACACAGCCCTGCCAGCAGTCAGTGGCCATGCACCACGGCGGTACAAACCCACAGGTCCGTGCTAATAGCCCAGCAGCGAGGCTATGGAAGAATGCGGCTGGCCCACTGGGTGCCCAGGTGAAGCAGCAGGGCCTTGCTGTGCCAATCACATTTCACTGGTGAATGTTTGTAGTTCCTTAAACAATCCCTTCCCACGTAAGGATTTCGCTCTGGGAAAAATTCATAGCCAAGATCGATACCACCAACAAGGTGCTGAGCTGGAATCTGAGCCCTGGAGTCTTTATGTCAAAGTTCATGATTTTTAGAGTTGCATTACTACCTTGTTCTCAGGGAACTGTCATCAATACAAGAAAGAACTGCCTCGGTACTGAGTCTTTTTGTAGAGAAGAAAATACAAGGGAAATGTACTTTCTTCTCATTACATACTTGCAGTTCCTTTATCCAATGTTTTCCTCAGGGCTCTCCCTGGAGGGTGTTACCTACTCAGATGCCACTCAACTCCTCAGCGGGATGGCCAGATGGCACCATGTTCACGTAGAGCCTCCCTGCCTGGCTTCTGGGCAGAGGGAAGCAGTATTGACAGTGAATGGTTCTGACCCCTTAATAATCTTGTCTTGGGTACATGAATCCTCTTTGTGTATACTAGTTTTGTCTTGAAAGGGCAAATTTCAAATTATCAGAAAAATCCAATTAGCTATCATTTACAAGCTACAAGGGAATGGACAAGTGTTTGTTTGTTTTCTAAGTATAATTCTTACTAGAGCTACACAGACATTAAAATTACGACTTTAGAGTTTCTGGAGATAAAATCTGTGGCATAATCTTAGAAGATAGTAAATATATTAGACCAGTGAGAAGGCTCAGGTGGTAAAGGCTCTTGCTGCCGAGCTTGAGGCCCTGAGTTCAATTCCTGGACTCAGAGAGAGAACCAATTTCCCCAGGTTGTCCTGTGACCTCCACATGTGCAGTGGTGCCATGTGTCACCCTACAAATAAATAAAATGTAATATAAATTTTCACATATAGTGAATGCAATATAGCCATGGCATGCTGCAGTTGTATCAGAGGCCTTTTACTCCAATATATGCTACTAGTTATTTCACACATGGGTTTTATTGTCCAAAATGTTATTTTCTTTTTTACCCTTTTTTAAAAAATTGAAAATAGATTATTTTCCCATTTAATGTATTATGATTAAAGTTTCCCTTCCCCCAACCCCTCTCAGACCCTCCCACCTCCCTGCCCACTCAAATCTACATCATTTCTTTCTCTCTCTCATTAGAAAAGTCATCTACAAATAAGATAAAAACAAACAAACCAGAATAGGAAAAAACAAACAAGCAGAAAAAAAAATAAATAAATGAACCAAAGAGAAAGCACAAGAAACATATCCAGGAAGAAATCATCATATAAGAGCAAAAGACATGTAAGGTAAAACAATGCCTAGACAAACCACCAAAATCTAATTTTCAAGAAAGACACTACCACAGACTAAGTACAAGTTAAGTAAACCTTATCCAAAATGCATGAATCAGGAGCATTTCAAATTTTAGATTCTGAACTATTTACAAATGAGTAATGAGAAACCCCGGGGAAAGGGTTTCAAGTCTACACAAGAAAATCCATTTGTATTTCACATACACCTTCTGCAAATAACCTAAGGCAACTGAATATAATGTGCTAGGTAATGATTACATGCATAAAGCAAGGTTGTGGACACTGAATAGCAGACTTGAGGTGTCAGGTTGGTTGCACTCAAGTCTGGGATTTGGAACTATTTTGAATTTTCAGGTGAGATGGTCCATATATAATATAATAGCTCTTCTGGAAGGAATTCGATATCCCATGGGCCAGTAACTTATCTATAAAAGGCAAGTAGTAGGTCCTAACTTTTAACCACATCTGTGTACCTATATCATCTGAATTACTCTTTAAAAATGTAAAAGTATTATTTGTTTGAGGATTATATAAAATGGCAGCAGACTGTGTAGTCCTGCTGTACTTCAAAGAAATAGTTATTTGGAAATTAGGAATTTGCAGATGAGATCCTCAACTCTGAATATAAAAACAGCCATCTCTTCTATGTGCTCTGACATACTGGCATGCATGTAATATGCATTATATTAGTAAATCGTCATGTGCTGTTCAAGCTCCCTGAGAACTGGTTCTAGAGGTGTACCCCATTTCAGACTCAAGAATGTTTGTCTTATAGTGTTCTCCAGGACCCTTTGTCCCAGGACAGGCTGGCCTGCACCCTGCACCTTGGAGGAGAATCGTCCTGCTTCTTAAATCCAGGAGGAAGGGCTGGTCCAAAAAACCCATCATCGTCGTCGTCGTCTTCTCTATCTTGATTTCGCCTCTGTTTTCTAAAGATACAGAACAACTTAAGTTAAACAGATGTTAAATTTTTTAAAACAGAAAAGTTCTAATTTTGAGAGAAAATATTAACTTTACATAAATACACACTGAGATACAATCAATTAACCCCGCCAAATTAAAAAAAAAAAAAAGTTGTTAATCTTAACAGTTACAATAGTTCTTAATCTTTTCCTGAAATTTATCTTCAGTTATTCATTTTTTAGAACTACATAAGTATTCTGGATCTTGTAGAGAATTAAAGATTTTACTATGTGGGAAAAAAAAATCTCAAGGTCTATTCAACCCTTTCTTTGGTTTTTAGTCTCCCTCTCAGAAGCATAGTAAGTTGCCTTTTTCTGTCTCCTAATCTTAAAAGGGCATCAAAAATCTTATTAACCTGTAAAAAACAAAGGTTCAACTTATCTACCTGACTCATGGTTGGTAAGGCTAGATTAGAAGGGAATCACTTATTTAAACAGAACATCAACTGCATATCAATTTTAAAAAGAAATTCTATGGGCTTTACTTATAATATTTAGTTATTTCAATAATATGTTAAGGAAAAACCTTTTAAATATATCAACCTTTATTGGGCTGGAGATGTAGCTCAGTGGCAGAGAGCTTACCTACACTGCTCTAGGCCATAGGTTTGATTCCCTAGTACTTCACACACCAATCTTATTAATTCATTAATTCATCCACTCATTTCAGGGATTTCCTCATCTACACACTGCTAGAATAAGCCCATTTTTATTTTTTTGGAGACAGGGTATCACTATGTAGTCCTGGCTGGCCTTCAACCCACACAGATCGCCTGGCTCAGCCTCAAGAGTGCTGGGATTAAAAGTGGGTACCCCCACATCCAATTAGAATAAGTTCTTTGTAGAAGGTGTAGACTGTGACATGCCAGGTGAGAAGACATTTTCCCTGTGCTGCACAAATTCAAGCATGGTGTTCTTCCTTAGCAGCCATTGCTCAGCCAACTTGAGAGAGGTGTGAGGCTTGCTTCTCTGTGGAATTCAGTGACTCACCTGGCAGTTGGACCAGTGTCATCGTCTTCAGACTCTTGATTTCCTTCTTCAGACAAAGAACTGCTGTCCTCATCACTGTCTGAGGAGTCTGAACTGCTGCTTCTGTAATTAGGGGGCAAAGCGGGCCCTGCAACTGCACAAGGTTGGTTGGATGGGTTACAACTCTTTCACTCAGTCCTCCTGGCTGAAGTTTTCTTTCCATGGCCACAGATGGCTAGCATTTACTGTGGATTTTATCTTCTAGCTATTCTCCCACCAACCCATCCACCCACCAGTGACAGAGTAAATACTCCCAAAGAAGCAAACATAAAAAGATCAGTTCAGGAAAAGTGCTGTTATTGAAACCCTGAAAGCATGCCTGTGTGGGAGAAGGGCAATTTGGAAGACAGTGGCCAGGGAAGGACATTCAGACAAGGCATTTGGGTTGACTCAAGTGACGGGACAACAATGGCCATACAACAATCCAAAAGAACATTCTAGACCAGTGGTTCTCAACCAGTAGGTTGCAACCGCTTTTGGGGTCACATACCAGATATTTTGCATATTGGATATTTATATCATGATTTACAACAGTAGCAAAATTACAGTTACAAAGTAGCATGAAAATAATTTTATGGTTGGGAGACGGGTCACCATAACATGAGGCACTACAGTAAGAGGTTGAAGCTTTAGGAAGGTTGAGAACCACTGTTCTAGACAGAGAAAAGTCAGCAGAAGAGAACAGTCTGTGCATTCTCCATGCAGAGAACAAGCTGATGCTCCAGGCTGAAGAGGCCAGTGTGTCTAACACAACGGAAGGCAAGGCTGCAAGCTATGGAGTAGGCGCCCTAGCTCTGAATCTACACTTTGCTACTTAGTAACTAAATGAATTGAGCGTGTTAGTTACCCCGCCTGTACTACTTTGTTGCTCTTTCTAACGAGGCTCTGTCTAATGATAAAGTTTAAACCAGGAATTCTCACTAGAAGGAAATACTTTAGAATGCTATACAGATGAACCCTGAGGACATTATGACAAATGTAGCAGACAGTTACAGAAATCCCCTACTGTTTGAGCCTACTCACAGGAGGTACATAGAGCTACACATTCATAACATAGAATGGCTATTCCTGGAGCTGTGGGCAGGAAGGGCCATAGCTCCAGGAATAGCCATTCTATGTTGGGGAGTTTCGTTCAACAGATTTCAGCTCGTGAGATGAAGAGTTTTAGAGATGAACTGTGGTGGTGGCTACATAAACAGTATGACTATAGCCATGCCATGGCTAATGTAGTAGACCCAATTAATATTTTATGAGAACAAGAAAGAAAAAAACTAGTGTCTTAGTCAGGGTTACTATTGCTATAATGAAACACCATGGTCAAAAACTGTGTCAAGCTTACAAAAGACTTGCAACCAGTACAGCAACACTTGCACAATCATGTTTACTGATGCTCTACTCCCCATATGGAGGAAATGGAGTTAGACTAAATGTTCACCAGCAGACAACTGGATAACGGAAATACGGTATAAAATATACAATGGGATTTTATTAAGCTATAAAGAAAAATGAAGTCATGAAAGCTGCAGGAAAATGGATATAACTGGAAAATATTCTATAGTGAGGTAACCCATTTTCAGAGAGGAAAATATAATGTGTTCTCTCTGATAGGAGTAGCATGACTTATAATGTTTATGTATGTGTATGGATATAGAATATGAAACTAGAAAGGAGGCCGCAAGGGGGTTAAAACAGGCATCGAGGAACGGGGACACACATTAGACATTGAAAGGGGAAAGGAGGTTATGGGTGATGGTTGAAGATGGAAGAGGTATGAGGGGAATGTGGAGAAGAATCCACAAAAACATTTTATGTAAAAATGCCATAATGAGGTCAACCATCAGTTCAGAGTGCACCCTGCAGAGCCCCCAAATTGGTTCGCAGCACCTATGTTAGGGGGCTCACAACTGCCTGTAACTCTAGTTTCAAGGGTCCCACAACCTCTGGCCTCCTCAGACACCTGCATTCACACGGACACACCCACACACACACAGACACAGGAATAGAAACAATGAAGCCTAAGGCTTTGCATTATAAATGTAAAATCTCTACAAATCAAAAGATAAACAATTCACTAGAAAATGAGCAAAAGACTTCATCATAGCACAATGGTAAAAATGATTTTAAAAAAGTAAGATAAGTAGTCAATTTCATTTCTCACAAGAAAATGCAAATTAAAAGTACCATACAAGACTGATTCAGAACACTAGACTAAAAAAAACAGAAAAAATGATTAGGGAGAACATGGGAGAATCAGATTTTCATACTTGTGGAGGATTTGGGTAAAGTGGTAGGATTCTGAAGCTGAGGTATTACACAGGACACACAAACACACACACACACAACTCAAATGTCTGGCACCATTAAAATTCTTAAATAAGTTGCAGGGGATTTACCCAATATAATTCACTCACACTTTTTAAACCTCAATTAAGTGGAAACTTCTTGGTTTACAAAAAAAAAAAAAAAAAAAAAAAGAGTAAAAGAAAAAAATTTTGAGCTAGCTGTCCTGGAACTCACTCTGAAGACCAGGCTGGCCTCGAACTGGGAGATCCACCTGCCTCTGCCTCCCAATGCTGGGATTACAGGCATGTGCCACCAATACCCGGCAATAAAAGGAATTTTAAAAAAATAGCTACACTAGAACCAACATCTGGAAGGAAGACTCTGGTGGAAACAGTCTCTGGGGCCAGAAAAGGAAAATAAGACTTAGTAATAGTTGCAATGTTCCTTTAGTTTTGTTCTTTCCCAACTACAGTCACTGTTATGATAAAGATGATAAAGAGTGTGGTGACCTTAGCAGATTCCACGGCAGGAGAGGGTGACGGTGGGGGGGACAAACATGCCAGGCAGTCAGAGCTTAAGTGAGAAGTTTTATTAGGAGGAGGGGGAGAGGGAGGACAGAAGAGAAGAGGGAGACAGGAAAAGTCCTGTCTTCCCTCCAGGGGAACAGCTTGGAAAAGAGCAGGGATTTTTTTTTTTTTTTTTAAAGGGGTCCTTTGCACCTGCGTGTAACTAGTAGTTATGTAACCATGGGCTGCCCAGGGTACTGCCTGAGTACTTTCTGCCAGGTGACAGGGGCAGGCCAGCATAATCCTTACAGTCACTCCCAGGTTACACTGGGACAAATGTTAAAACCAGAAGAGCATGAAAGAGTGAGAGGAATTGATGCATACAGGACGTGCCTATTGCATGGAAAAGTTACAAGACATAGTGAAATGGCGGAGACTAATGTCAATAAATTATTCGAATAGAGTGTGTTAAATAGTAGTGTAACTGGGTTGAGAAAAACCCCGAGGAAGATGTGGCAGTGCTCAGGAAGATGACACTTCTTTTTCGTTCTAGTTGTTCTGGAACTCTGTCCGTAGAGCAGGCTGGCCTCAAACTCACAAAACTCTGCTTTTGCCTCCCGAATGCTGGGATTAAAAGCGCGTGCTACCACTGCCTGGAGGAGGGCGACATTTAAACTGGGATTTGAAGGATGTGCTGGTATTATCAGGCATATACGTACAAGCATAGCAGAGAAAAGAAGCTTATCACTGAGGAAGCATAAACTCGGGCTGTGTGAGCACTGGGCTGCGTGTGTAAGATGGAATGATAGCGTGAGAAGCCAGAAGTCAGGCCAGGGACGAGAGATGCATAGCATCTTCGGCAAAGGTCTTCTAACTCCGAAGGTCTACCAGGTTCTAATTTGGGCTTCATCACTGACTAGCTGTGTGACCTAAGCACCGATTCTCCAGTCTCTGTCTCCATTTGTAATGTATGTACCATGATCTATCTTTTCTTACAGTTGATGGAAAGGTTAAACAGACGACCGGACGAAGGCTGGTCAGTTAGCACAAGCCTGTTCACAGCACAATATGGCTCATATCAATCGCATATTGGGACTGTGTCGTCCTTTTAATAGTGATCAGGCCCCCAAACACCTCTTTGCGCACAGCTTGCTCCTCTGGACTGACCGCGCCCACTCCGCCGTGCTGCCAGCCCTTCCCACGAGTGCAGGAACCGGCTGCTGCTTACCCGGGCTCTGGTCCCGCTCCTCGTCCTCAGCTGTCGCGTGCTCCTTGAAACCTGGCGGCAGTGCCGGTCCAATCAGGTCCCTAGCCATTCGCTGCGACGCACGGTCGTCCAGCGACCAAGCCAGCCTGCGCACGCAGGTTAAAATCAGCCTCGATGGCAGACCAAGCTTTGCAGCTAAGGCCGGAAGTTTTTCCGGCTTCGTCTGATGACGTAAGCCCGCGATTGGCCCATAGGTCAGACGGCCGTGGCGGAAGTGACGCTTAATGCGAGTTCCACAATTGCACGCTGGCCTCTGCGCTTGCTGGGTGGCATGGCAGAGCCGACTCCCGCCGGGTGGCCTTCAGCCCCCGCGGTGACTCCCGCGCTGGGGACCCCGGGAGAAACTGCCCCGCCGCGGGACAATTGGGTGTTCTGGGCCATGCTGCCACCGCCGCCACCTCCTCTGTCGTCCCCGGCGGCGGGGTCCGAGCCGCGCCAGAAGGAACAGCCCCACGTGCAGACCCAGCCTCTCTCCGGAGCGCTTCCCCCTTTCGATGCGCAGATACTTCCCGCGGCGCAGCCTCCTTTCGATGCCCAGGCCCCGCTGGGTGTGCAACCTCAGTACAGCGGCCAGCAGGCCTGGAATTTTCAAGCGTCGTCGCCTTGGTACTGGGGACTGTCTCCTAATGGTTACCCCGCGTATGACACGTCCTACTACTCTTCGGGTAAGCTGCTGTTCCTAGTGGTGCCCCTTTGCTTTCTCCTTTTCCCTCTCCCAGCTTTCCCTTTTTATCTCTCAGCTCTGCCCCGTATTTTTTGGAAGCTGGTGATGAGTATTGAAAATTTATTCCACTAGAAGGTTTCCCACTGTCTGCTCATTCCAAGTTTATTATTGCAATCCAGCTATTTACTGGAGGCTACTTACATAGCAACGAACAAAATATAGAAAACTTCTTACCTCTTGGGGGGCTTCCTATCTCCCCATTGTAGGAAGATACAGTACAGGAAATAAAACTACTCATTAGAGAGTAATGATTGCATGTGTGCATTAGAAAGGGATTGGTGGGGGCTGGAGAAATGGGTCGGCAGTGAAGAGCGTCTATTGCTCTTGCAGATGACCAGAGCTCGGTCCTCAGCATTCATTAGGCGGCTCTCAGCCACCTGTAAGTTCAGTCCCCAGGAGATAACTGCCGCCTAGCCTCCATGGGGACCTGCACTCACATACTACCCACACTTTTTCTTTTTAATCTAAGAAAAAAAGGTGATTAATAAATGAATGTACACTTGCAATCTTAAATGAATCTCTCTTTTCTTTTTTAGTTGCACACTCTTATTTTCCACAAACACAAGATGCAAAATTCAGTGACTTCAGTATGCCTCAAAACAGAAAACAGAAAAAGAAGGTATTTCTGAGACGATGAATTACACCTTGTGTTTTACCTGTCTGTGTGTTTCATATCTGTTATGGACATGTGATGCTTTAGTCGATAGAATTTTTAAGGAGCTTAAATAAAAAGTTGAAACAAAATAGTTTTGACAAATAAATGCTGAAATTTTAGAAAAAGAACATTAAATCTGTTTGGATACACAAGCAAAATTGAGGATTATGCTTGCAAATACATGTAAATGTTATTAAACTTCGGTGAAGTTTAGAAGATTACAAAAAATGTGACTGACAGCTGAAATTAGAAGACTGGAAGTCCCAGCTTTTTACCAAGTTGGAAGCACAAATAAATTGTGATGACAAATCTTTTATTTTTCATAATCTTGTTGCCTCTTAGCATGGAAAAATCTTCCTTCAATATAAAAACAGATCCCTCTTTGTTTTCTTTTTAAACTCATTTTTTTTTTTTTCTTTTGAGCTATAATCTAATGTTTCTAGTTTAGGAGAGTTTATATTTTCCCGAGCCGTGCACATACTGTCTTAAATTCAGACAGGATTTATTGTGCTATTAATGTTTCTTTGTCCTGTGGGTATTTGTGATTGTTGTGAAAGCCTTTTTTCTTGCTTTACATTTGTCTTTGTTGGGGGTGGGTGCATACCTGTGGAGGAGCTATGAGAACAATCTGCAGGTGTCTCCCCATGTGTGTCCTGGGGATTGAACTCGGGTCCTAAGGGTTAGCAGCAGATGCTTTTATCTACGGAGGCATCTCTCTGGCCTGGAAGCCAGTTTTTCATATGAGGCCGGTTGTATGTCACAAGCCACATACTGTATTAAGATAGGTTTTCTTTATTGTTGTCTGAACCTAACTTACAGGTCAGGGTCCCTCTTTGTGTAAGTGACACAGTTACTGTAGGGTAGATTGAGTACTGTCTGGATCCGTGCTTCTCAGCCTTCCTAGTGCTACGATCCTTTAATGCAGTTCCTTATGTCCTTGTGTTGTGCTGACCACCCCCCAACCATGAAATTATTTTGTTGCTACTTCATAAAACTCTAATTTTGCTGCTATTATGTGTTGTAATGTAAATACCTGATATGCAATCCCCCCCAGGGGTCATGACCCACAGGTTGAGAAGTGTTGGTGTGGAACTTGAAATTAATGTTCTCTTACCGCGAGAAGTATTAACTCATGTTATTAATTTTACACAGGTACAGTATATCTATTAACAGTCCGTTTAACATTAACAGTAACATAACATTTAAATAAATGGAGATTATTTCCTTTATCAGTATTCTAGTATAGTCTCCTTTGTGAGATGCCTATTTTTTTAACCTATTTACCTTAAATAGGTTCTTTTAAATCTTGGCAGATGCTATACCAAATTCTCATTAGGTCTCTAACTTGAAATCTTATAATTTGAATTAGCTCTTTTTAGATTTAAATTTTGCTTCTTGTGTCTGACTTTGGCTGTATTGCTAAAAAGTGAAAGAATCCCCTACCCAGGTTATGTTTTCAAATAAATCAAATATGTATTCCTGGAATAGTTGTGTTTGGTTGAGCAGAGATTTTTGTACCATAGTCTTAATACTTTTTTGTTTGTTTGCAGAAGAGAAAGGAGCCGGTTTTCCACTTTTTCTGTGATACCTGTGATCGTGGCTTTAAAAATCAAGAAAAATATGACGTACATATGTCTGAACATACAAAAGTAGGTTCCTGGTTGTTCTGAACTGATATAGAAATGCCTCTTATTTTGCATTTTTGGTGAAAGTGCCACGCTTATTTTCCTCATAAGTTTGTAGTTTTTACAGAAAGAGATATTTGATGACTTGACACATGGGAACAGTGCCTGGGATTTGGAGTTTTGGGGGTGGGGTGCTGTGACAACCTGTGCATGTGCCCCTCCATGGCTACACCTGCAGCTCACTGTGATTGTCATAGTGTGCTGTTCTCTGAGTATAAACCCAGCCATTTAGAACATTTGCAAGTTTTTTTTTTTTTTTTTTTTTTTTTTAAGTTCTTGTTTTGGATACATCGTTTGCAGGAATGCCTCGCCTCTAGGATTAGGAATGTTTTAGTTTCAGATGAAGAGGAAATGAGGGGAGTGGCTGTGCTGCTCATCTCAGAGATGCCATTCCCTTCTGAGTGCAGCTGTTTGAAGAGGGATCTGTGTTTTGCTGTTGGACTAAGATTGATAGCACAGGTGGAGTAGTCACTGGCCCGCCATGGTCTGTAGACGCTGGTGGTGTGAACCATTAAAATGAGGCCATCTTTAAAATGTCTCTGTTGTTAAACTTTTCAGTGCCCTGAAGCAGATTGCTCTTTTAGTGCACATGAGAAGATTGTCCAGTTCCATTGGAAAAATGTAAGTTCTTATGACTTTTTACCCATTTTAAATGTGTTCTCTATATATGCCAATAGTAAATAATATTCACACAGTGTTTTGTACTTTTTAAGGAAGTTTTACATCTCTCACTTTGTTTTAATCTCAAGCCATGCAAAATAGATAGCTGTTAGCTCCAACAGATGGAAAGGAATGACTCACCTACCTAGGACTGATTGTTGCACGCACTTGCAAGTTGTATGCTGGTTTTGCCATGCTTCTTAAAATGGCCTTGGCTGGGTGCTGACAAGATGGCCCAGCAGTTAAGAACTTATCTTGCCCCTCCAAAGGACTCAAGTTCAGTTCCCAGCACCCATACATATTGTATAGCATACAACTGCCTGTAACTCCTGTTTTAAGGATCCAGTGTGCTGGTGTCCGAGGGCACTTGCATGCAAACACACACACTCTCTCACTCATGTATGAACTAAAAGACTTGTGAGATCTATGTAATAAAATGTGTGCTGCTTCCCCTCCCCCCCCCCATCATTAGCATTCATCCAGCTACATGAGTCATGGTTGCTTTTTCTTTGAGGGATAAGGCATAGTGAGAACACTAGTTAGCTTAAAGTATTCTCTGTGTGTAAGTTTCCTGTTGGATGCAATGTCGCACTTAGTTGCTCCCTGATGTTCAGCAGGCTTTCTGCCCTTAGATGCATGCTCCTGGTATGAGGAAGATCAAGCTAGACACTCCAGAAGAGATTGCAAGGTGGAGGGAAGAAAGAAGAAAGTGAGTAAAGAGCTGCTAACTAATAAGTAACTGTCTTTTACTGTGGCAGGACTAAATACGAATATGAAAGTGACCTGGCTTGATTTTGTGTTCTTCAATAGTGATACATTAAGAATAGTGTTAGTTGATGGTTTAAAACTAAGCATCTTTCTTACACAGTGAAGTCCATTGACTTATTTCATGCTAACATGAAGAAAGAGAACTATAAGGTATGTTATATGAGTCTATTGAATGTAATCCGGGAGAGAGTTACAGGAACTTTCCATGTAAATAACAGATAGGCCAGAACTATATGGACCCTGAAGAACGTTAACATGCCACTTACTAGGTGTTCAGTGGCGGGGGTGATAATGGGCTTTAATGATATTTAAATGTATAATACCTTGCCATGTTTATATTTATTTATTTGTTTGTTTAAACACACAGCTGAAGGACTGTACTCTTCTAGGCAGAGTGGGTTCAGCAGAGTACCTGCAAAAAGTCCAGGAATTCATCCCTGTAATTAATGTTTGCGATGTGAGTGAGCCTTACTGTGTAACTTGTGCCTTTACATATATTAGCAGAGTTGATGTCTGGCTACAATGTGAACAATCTGCCTGGAACTCTATGTTACTGTCTTCTCATGTATTTGACCCTGTAGCAG